CAGGGATTGCACAAAACAAACAAACTCCCTTACAAATACAAATGAGCGAATTGCATAAGTACATCAGCACAAAGTTATGGTTAATTCGTTACGCCAGAAGACTAATAACCCAATTTTTGCGATATTGCAGAGAGCGTGGGGCGTGAGAATAAAACATTATAATGTAACAAGCACATCCTACCATAGTATATTATTAGAAGTGCGAAGGTAATAATTATAGATTAGATCGGTTCAATTTAAATGCTTTCTTCCTACGATCTAGATGCTCACAGGCAGGCGAAAAATGTAAATCCACTTCACGGTGCATATAAAGTTAGAGAAACAACTTTATTTGCTCATTATATAACCATTTGCAGTTTTTCTACCGCTAATTAGTTGTGTCCACTACTATTTTTTCCTCGAGTGAAAAAAACGCACTTACGAGGCCAAAGATTTACTGCCGGTGATTAGGTACCTGAAGGTTACTGTTAGGGACCATTTTAAAGAGCTACCAAAAAAATTGTTTATTGCAAAAACAGTGCCTAACACAGGTCGAAGGTGTGGAGAAATAAATTTTCTCGTATACCGAGTGGTATTTTTAAGTGGACCATTAAAAGAACGGTTTGGAATTTCAATTCGGGACCCATTACCTTTTTTGAATAATCGATCAAAAGGAATCATTTAAAATATTTTCAAGATGGCCGCTTTTCCGGTTGTATCAGAACGATACCGGAAACAAGAATTTTGGGGCCACATTTGCCGCCCCATAAAATCTGCCGCCATAGGCCCCAGCCTACTCAGCCTGCTGGTAAATCCGCCACTGGCTCCCTGTAATTAAATTCTTTAAATGATGTAAACTTCAATTTATACGAAATATATGCTCAGAATTTCCTCTAATTTTACCAGAGCTTACCTGGTGGTATTTACGTGTAATTTCTCCACTACGCATCATATAAGCAACATCTTTTCTTTAAAAATTAACCTTGGTCGTTTTCCAGAATTTTCTTTACATTTTCTCAGAATACCTTTGTTTTTTCTTAAAAATTTCGATTGAATTTTCAAGAGCTTCTTATAATCCTCTAGAATTTTTTGCAGTTTTATCAGGGTTTCGCATTTATATAAATTTTTCCAATTTTGATGCAAAAAGTGAAACAATAATTTTTTTAAATTTTCAATTTACTCGAAAAGAATTTCTTGAGAATTTTATTATCCTGTTTCGTCCAAATTTCCTCGAGAATGTTTTTGTTCTCCAAATTTCTCCTTACATTAAATTTTCTCATTTTTGTACGAAACCACCATCTCTTTAAAAACTATTTTTTTTTAATTTCATTCCAATTTCGCAAGAATTTTCACGTATAGAAATTTCATAAAAATGTTTTATATTTCTTGAGAATTTCTCATGCTCAAAACTTTCCTTTTGTTTTCCCCAAAATCTCATATTCGCCCCACAATTCTGTCTCTAAAGCATTAAAGGCAGTACAAAATACCACATAGGCGATGATCGGCTGAATTTCTACATTAAAAATTCAAAATGTTTCGCTACTGCGAAATAAGAAACAAAGTCTTAAATCGTCCAGGAAAATTGTCATAATTATAATAATCGAAGCCATAAACAACCCAAATTTTCCTGTTATAATAATTAATTAATTAATATAAAATTGCACCAAGTAGTCTAAATTCTGTAATTCTTGGATGTGGTCCATTTAACAGGATAGTAGGGAAAACGTACATGTGTATTCTCTCAAAAAAATCTCCTTGTATGATAAAGGTGTTTGCTTTTGCTCTTTGAACATCATTCTACACAAGGATATACAAACCTATCTACAGGTATGCAAAATTAAAGCTTCTAATCTTTGATTATAAAGCATATTGCAGTTGCACCTACATTTTCTATTCAAAGTTTTCTGATTTCAAAAGCGAACAACACCAAGTTACCATAAAACTATGAATATATAACTTGAAAGCAACAATTATCTGGTGAAAAAACATGCATAAATACGGCTAACCTTTTTATTTACAATTTTTCCCCGCCGTGGAAGATCTGGAATTTTTTTCGAATGTTCAAAAACTAATTTCATGTTCGAAAACCCTCAGATACACTCTGTAGGTGTATCAAATTCAGTTCAAATTTTGCCTAGATTAAAAAAATGAATCAAAACTTAGGACTTTCCATTTAAAAGAACAATGTGGTATTAAAATTGAAAATGTTAGCAGAAACGGAGGTGCAAGATACCTAAAAATTAGTTTTAGGTGCACATGCACATGGTTAATGCTAAATACAATCGTTAATCTAGCGACTCCGTAACCATAGAGCTCGCCATAGAGTCTTTTTTCGAGGTTTTTTCTTGATCAAGAGTCAATTGGATTGTTAGGAAAGTTCAGATTTGTAGAAAAAAACGCGTCCAGTGTTGTTGTGCTTTTTTGGTGTTTATGTATCCGTTATGGCTCAATTTTTCAGAGGTCATCTAGGAGTTCCACCGAAGAATTTCTCATTGATTAATCAAAATTGAACATTTTTTTTAGGTACATTTAGCTGAAGAACGTCTAGCAGTGTTCCAGAGGATATAAAAAAACTGAAATAAAAAAAAATTCTTTTTTGAAATGCCTACGAGTAAAAAGAGTTGTCGTATGCCGCCGGATGTGCCAACTCAATTTTTCGTGTACGCAAATTAAGAGCGCCTGCAGTTATTAATGTAGGGTGGAACATGACAGTATGAAATAAAGGCAATTTACTACGTCAATTGATTCTCGTTCCTATTTTTATTGAATTTCAATTCGGCGTGTTCCGAATGCTCGAGTTGATTACAAATTTACCAAAATTGATTGATTGACGCTTGAATAATATATTAAGGTCTCATGTCCTTTCATTTTTCGGGTTAGAATTGAATTACCACCGTATTGATCCGTAAACATTTACGTGTCCCGTGACGTATTTAATATAAATAATTAGCGCGAATATTAATAATGTCGAATCACGTCGTTTTTCGGTACGATCGATGCCAAATGTCGCGATTATTTATGGTTATTTGACGAATTCGGATTTCGCATTTCAGTTTGCGAAATTCACGTCAGATCGTTTTGTTATTATAGTAGGTACTTGCCAAACTATAAATCACTTATACTGCACTTAATTTTATTAAGTGGGGGGTTTATATTTACTGGAAGGTTTCCAAATCAAAATTTATGACGTTCCGCTGCTTTGAAGATTGATTTAATTAAATTAATTCATTGCAGCTGCACCGAGTGTTGCTTTTTTTCGTAACTTGTTACGCTAGTTTCCCGCCTATTCCAACTGGTAACCGTAAAGGGGTACGTGGAATTACCGAAACAGCAGTTTATGCAGTGTCCCGGATTAAAAGTCGTGTTCCTGTGTCAAAAAATTCCCTTATTTACTAAAACTCGTATGCGACTCTTAAAGAGAATATCATAAGAATATGATCCGAGTCTAGGGAAACGATTTTCTTTGCGGTACAGAGAAGAGCATCTCATAATCCTTTCCCAAAAAACCAGTCAAATGGTTCTAAAGGTGGTTAATCATTTCCATCTTTCGCCGAGTCAAAGGTTTTCACGGGACGAATTTATTTCACTAAGAAATGTAACCTTATATTCCTATTAAAAATACTGAATTTGCAACCGCTCACCACAATATTGATCCCAAAAGTAATTAAAGAACAAAAAGCCCATTGAAAATTGGATATGTAGACGTAGGACATATTTAGTTGACTACAATCAACCAGATAAATTTTTCATCAACACACTACTGACATTTGACATTTTTCACGGCTTTAAAAATTCGAATTTTACTTATTTCTGCGGGAAAAATTCAAAAAATTTAAATCCTAACTTCGTTACATTATGCTGACAGACAAGGGGAAGGGGCGTCAGTCCAAAGGACTTTCTGAAGCGAAAGAGCGGAGAAAAAGGAAGGTTAAACACTGCCTTTTTTTTGGCCCCAAAAAAAAATTGTCTCAGACCGATCGGGAAAAGACATTTTCTTATAGAATTTGGCCGTAGAATCATAATTTCAAACAGTTCCAAGATTGGGCTACTAGATCAAAAGTTACAGCTCTTTGAATTAACGAAATTTGTTTCTAGTCTATAACTTTTTTTTGAGAAGTCTAATCGAAAAAGTACGAATCGTTTTGAATTCTACGCACCAAAATTAATAAGAAAAATTATAAACGATCTCTAGGGTCGTTAATAAACGGCAAAAGTGTAAAATTATGGAACATGTAAAAAAACGGTTTTTTGTAAGCGGTACAGAAAAAATTCCTTCCTTGGTACAAGACTCGACAACATAACGAACCAAATAGCGAAAAAAGTAGAACAATAGCTCTTAAGATAAAAAACTAGTAGCGTCTCAAAACGAGCGGACGGACGGACGGACAAAGTGGCCACAATAGCGCATTTTTTTTATTGTGGAAATGCGCTAAAAAATAAGTATAAGTCGAAGTGAAAGCTTAAAAAGCACATCTTATCGTCTAAGTTTGTAACTGGGCACTTTCGAAATAGAATTCAGAATTTCTGAGCGACACAACGGAATTAAATTTTTGTAACTTGCACATTCCGATTTAGAACTCGGAATTTATGAAATAGATGCTCCATTTTCCAAATTTTTAACTCAAAAATTCAGAATTTCTAAGCTAGATATCGGATTTGCATTTGTCTGGGTCGTAATCTAAGGTCAGCGCTAAATTTGTGCTGGACTGGTGGCTATGAAATGCTGCTTATGGAACAGGGGGTTGTACAAATCAGAAAATGGAACAAAATCTACCACTTAGCAGTAAATAATTAGAACGTTTTACTCTATTTAGGTGCTTAACATATGGTGATGTATGCGGAACTGGCGCCACTTTGTTAAATACACCCCGGTGCATTATACCATTTAAATGGAATATTATCTACTAATTCTTTCGATTATTTTGACTGCGACTAGTGTAAAGAGCTTTATTTTGTAGATAATTAGTACTTAATGGGTTCAATAATTTCTTAGACACTTACAACGCAAAGTGGATACTTACACACTCGTTCCAGACCCTGGCCACAGTTACGGGATAGCGCGTTAGAAAATCGTCGGGGAAACCATCCGATTTCTATCTGAAAAAAAGAGAAACGAGTACAATATTCCCGAACAATTCATACCCTTTCGTATTAATAAAGTCTCGTGCTGTCGATTTCGCTACCATCCTCACCATAACCGTAACGTACACCAGCGCATGTATTAAAAATTTACCACTCGCGACTCTTCCCATTGGCTTATCGCCGAAATTTATTTCCGGATAAACGCAATTTCGTAAAATGCGAAATTACCTCTCGAAGAAGATGACCTCGTCGTCCCTAAGTATTTAATCCCTAATATCTAAGTTAATGGAGTTCTTCCAGCTACTACATTATATAGGAACGCGAGCGGATTTATTAATTAAGGGATGAAATATGAAAAGATCGCAAAGATGAAGACGCGCGTAATTTCAATCTACAAAAATATTTAATTAAGTAATGGGTATTCTTTTGTTATTTTAAGTACAAAAGGAGCATGTCGATTACGGAGTTGTTCGCGTTCTGAAAAGAGTACATAAATGAAAATGTGAGCTTTTGTCATTGGACGCATGTAACTCGCAAATGGCTAATTTTGCTCAAGCTCGATTTAATTACGAGAAAGTCGCTCACTTGTTACTTAAAATGTATAAAACTTCATTCAATTAACGACCAGTACTTCGGTTTGCGCCCCAACAAAAACTTCGCGCCCCACAAGCGAAAGCTTTGTTAAGAACATGTCTCGGAGGCGCGCGCGAAGTTTTTTAGTTCCGAACATAATTTACCGAGCCACAAAGTTTGATTACACTCTGCGAAATTTTGTTTAGCGGTATTCGTTGCAATGAATACCAATCGATTTTTTTCTAAAGAAGTTTGGCGACGCGTGTTGGGGACTGCAGCAGCTGACTTGACAGTTCGGAGTATGTTACCATCAAACTGAAAAGAAAAGTTTAAAAATTCTCCCCCGGCTTTCCGCCTACGGTACAGCGATTGACGTCGACAAAGAACTTTCGCTTATTTTGAACAAAAGTTTACAAGAGCATCTGTTGGACGAGAACCTTTCATCGTAAGATTGCAAATAGAAATTTCTGTTAAAAAGAAATGGATTGGATGTGCTTTGTAAGAGAAAGGGGCGATATTTGTTGAAGATGTTAACACTTAACTCGGCTTTATGTTACACAAAAAAAGCAATAGTGTCGGGAGAACGAAGTAACTAACAGTCCCAAAGACTTGCAGTGGTATTTAAATTGAGGTGCCGAGTGTATTCCAAACCTCTGGAACTCTGATACTCCGCTGAGCTTTCCCAGCCAACCGCCATATGGCTGCGGTACCAGAAAAATTAATACCAGTTGGAAATTCACTCTCCTAAAGCTAGAAAAGGTACTGTATTAATCTCCGCATTAAAGCACAAGTTGTATAATAGTATTTCATTTTAATTAAATCGAAAAAAGGCATACTTGTACCGCAAAAACAAAATAATCAGTTTTTATTAGATAATGGCGTTTCGCCAGGAGCGTGTGTTAAAAAGATTTTAAGCAGTGAGCCGTGCCAGCTCCGCGTAAAAAAATGTGAGCTTGTAATTATGAATTGAGTTCATTAAAATAATAGTAGAACACACTTTGTTGCGGTAATTTAAAATAATTACGTAACCCCCTGTATAGATCTGCAATGTCAAGATTTAAATTCAAATTAATTCTTAGTAAAGAATCAGGGAAAATTAATTTAAAAACAGGCTTCCGCAGAAAACAACGGAGCTACAATCGTTAAATGTAATAATTACAATTCGATTGTATCGAAAACCAGTATATAGTCAAACGTTAGGAGTCGACTAAAAAAAAATAAATACCTTTGAAATTCGGGTCGCAACCTTGTGAGCTCAAAAGGGCTCGTTCAGCCTAATCTGTAACAGTCGACATCACAAACAAACAAATAAAAGGGGTAGTGAATAGCGCGGCACATAAAATATTGCGTAAAAAATTATCACATCGGCACCGAGGCAAACCGTAATTAATATAAGAATCAATAAATCCTTATCATCACAGCATCTGCCTAAAAGCGTAAACTACTTTATGAAACACAAATGAGCAATCTAACCAATTCAGGTAAAATGAACAAATTCTTGCGTGGACGAGGTAACAGCCTAAAAGTTCAAAAATGCAATCAATCATTTTTGCTTTAAAACTCAGTTATTTGTGGGAATATCCACAACGTAGAGAGCATAAAAGTTATGTAAAAAGGGGGGGAATTTATATTTTCCATAGCCTGCTTGGTTTTTAAGATACCTCATCAAAGTTTATTTTTTCAAAAATATTTTTGCACAAATAAATTCCAGATTTTTGTCTGATTAGAAAAATACATAGTTTGAGATGAAAAAAATTTTGAAAAATAGGGAAAACCGTTATTCAGTCTTGAAAATGTGGATTAAATACAAGTGGTCCGTGGAATCTACAGGGATATTCACGTAGCCCGTTCGTTAAGTTTTTAAAATTCCAGGAACATATTCCGTGGAAGAAAGAATCAATGTTCCTTTCAACCGTCATGAGATCTTCGTATACTGGCGGGGAGGGGGTATTCTATGTCTCCCCCACATACTTGCCCATAGAGACCACCCATGATAAATTTTCTCTGAAAACTTTCAGACCTAAGGGACTTTTCCAAAAGGAACCAACAAATCTCCCTCTCCTGACGACCCCATAGGCATCTGGTAGTTTTCAAAAATGGTGGCATATGTGCTAAAGGTACTAAGGGTCAGTTGCACCATCAGTAGTCGAACTTAAAATCTATGGCAACGATTATTAAGACAATGCTATGCTTAAATTTAAGCGATCCTTTAAGTTTGATGGTGAAATTGGCCATAAACGTTTTAGTGAAAAATGTAGAACCTGGAGGTTAACAGTAAAGGAAGGTTTAATGGCCCTTTCCTGAAAGCTGCCATGAACGTGGTGGAGGATCTAAAGATCTTTGACAAAACGTATTGCCAAAGGGTCTGCAATAACTCACTCTTTTGCAACAGGGGTAAATTTTGGGCTAGAAAAATAATCATTTTAATATTATTATTTTACTTTTTACGGTGAAGTTAGTTTTTCTCTCCCAAAATGTATCCACGGCTGCCTCAATTTTACTACAGTTTACTCAAGAAAATACGCCTATTTCTTTAAAATCAACTGAACTGAAAGGGTTAAATTGTCGCTTCTTCTAGGGATTTGTTGCAAATAAATACGAATCTCTTGAAGATTTAGATATTGTTATGTAAACTACAGGGGGTGTCGTTTCTCTACGTTGAAATAATGCCGAAGGTGAGAGCGAGTTAATGTAATTTCGGTTTAGGTAATGGCAATTATAGCAGTCGGGACATCCTGTATGTAAAATTATTGAAGTTTGTTTCATGGGATCTGGGTAATTTTTTTTTTGCGTCGACTATTAGGAAAAAGGTTATGAATTGTCATTTTAAATTTAGATAGTTAATTTAAAGTTAGATTGTAATTGTTTAATGAATTTAATGCTATTTTTTGTTTAAAACGCATAAATAAGACAATATGTATCTAAAACTTACTCATAATGTTAAAGTTTAATCCGGTCAGGTGTTTGTTAAAAAAAGGTTTTATCGAAAAAGCGATAACAAGACCATGTGCGAGTTAAGCAACGCATGTGTTTATCAATATGGGCGCTGGAGCAGTGTTACGAGTATCGCCGGGAAACTACGATATGAAATTGATGATTGCGGGTGGTCTCTCCTTTAAATAACCTAACAATTCTCCCGAAGCCTCGTGATATCATTCTGAGTCACCCTGATTTGGTTGTATTGGACACGTAAAACCCATTAAGATTACTTTATCGCTTGTTAACGACCGTCCGACTGTCGCGAGTAACTTTCCTGAACCAATACCAACTCATGACGCGCACGAAAACAAGTAAGTCATAAAATATAGATCGCCAAATTCATCCGGAGACTTTTGAAACATAACAATATTTTTGGATGATAATAATAATAATACCCAGTACCTCAAAAAAAACGCGCAACCCTAACGAAATTCCACTCTACAAGACTGTACATGTGGTTTGGAGGGTCTGAATGATACAATAAGGAAGATGGGCAAAGTGATTGACGACTCAAGGAAAGTTTAGGAGCGAAGACTGCTATGGTGTGGACATGTAATGAAAAGGGAAGAGAGCTTTGTTGGGTGCAGGATAATCAAAATGCAAGTGGAGAGGAGAGACGGAGAGAAAGACCAAGAAGAAGAGAGAAAAACTGTCTCTTGGCGCACTTGAAAGAGAAGGGGTGTAGAGGAAGAGAGCCATCGGGAACAGCGAACCATCCCGAACTTCTATTTTTATCTTATCTATAGCAGGCAAGTGAAACGCATTTTAGAGCCCTGTAGTCATCATTAAACCTACTGGCGCTCACTTTCAAATAAAGTGGTACATATGCAATTTTACCCATACATAAAAATCAAAAAACATAAACTGCAAAACGGGTTCAAGTTACAGTACCCCCTTCTGTTTTTAAAAGGGCTAAACTTAATGAAATTTGAAAAACAATAAACTAAAAAACCGGAGGCATATGCAACCTTTGTAATCATGAATGTCTTCGCAATACTAGAAATCTAAGGAACCTTACCCATCTCAGAAATTTTTAAAATCTTAGTGATCTTAAAAATATTTCTAGGATAACTTACGAAGAGCATGTTCATAGTAAGATTCATAAGAATACTGTAAAAAGCGTAAGAACCTTTTCAATATCTTGAAGCTTGGAAATCTTTAAGAATCTTGCGAATCCTGTAAAATTTTAAGAAAATTATAGGAATCTTAGTAATCTTATTGACATCAGCGATCTTAAAAATCTCAGTGATTTAGTCTCGGAAAGATGTGAGAGGGATTTGAGGTGAGATGAATCCGAAACCGAATGTGCGTCCCATCCGACAAAAAGGAGATTTCCTCGAGAAAACTATAAAAAACCATAATAAAGTGAACATATTTCAGATAGTGTTCTATAAGAGCCTTAAAGACTCCCCAGATTTTTCGGATGTAGTGAATGGCCCCGATTCCTCAGATTATTTGAATTTTTCTCAT